TGTGATTCCCGCATTCTGCTGTGGTCCCAAGTCTGTGTGTGTGCGTGCCTGCTAGTTTGCATGCCTGTCTGAGTGCTTGCCGGATGTGTGTGTGTGCGTGCCTGCTGGTTTGCATGCCTGTCTGAGTGCTTGCCGGATGTGTGTGTGCGTGCCTGCTGGGTTGCATGTCTGTCTGAGTGCTTGCTGGTTGGGTATGTGTGTAACCCGCCAGGGTACGTATTGGTTGCAAGGCCCACCGGGCCGGTACTTACCTGTGGCCGTGACTTTGGAGGGTTGCAGGGGGGTAAACATGCCGGTAGCGGGGAGTAGGCCCACGACACTTAGAGCAAATGGGGAAAAACACTCAAGTAGCAGGTAGGCCGAGCAGAAGAAGACAAAAAGTTGGCATTTTTAGAGGCCCAGTAGCGGTAGGTTAGAGGTAGGCCGGTACCAGTCCAAGTAGCCGTGGTCTAGGGCCTGTGCGGACAATAACAGAGCCTGCAATGATGTTTCCCTCCAAAAGGGAGGAGGTACCAGTTGCTGGGAGGCCGCTTGGCCTAGGAAGTCACCGCCCAGGAGGCCGGTAGGCCGCTATATCTTCAGGAAGAGTGGTGAGCTCTTCCTCATTTGTGGTATGCAAGGATTGGCGACATGCTGCTGGAGCGCAGCGCTGGTCCGAGGCAGCGCTGCCTGGAGGTGACGGTCTGCTGGGGCTCAGCCTGGCTATGGCGAGCACCCCAGCTTGAAGGAGGAAGAAGGGGGACATGGTAGGAGAGTGGTAGGGCACTTACCTGGCTATGGTGGACACCGTCTTCATCACCTTGTTGGGCGCTGCATCTGGAAGGCCCCGGTTGGGGTAACGGTGCACCAGGGCAGCTAGAGGCAGGGTCAGGCATAGTGGACCGAGTCAAGCAGCGACATAGCTGCTTTGGGTTGTCTTTTGGGCATCAGGGCAGCATCATAGCTGCCTTCCAGTATTCCGCCATGACCTATGCTTGAGAGAGGAGGTTGAAGGAAGGAAGACATAGCCATGGTGGACTTGTTGTTGTTGTTGTTGGGTTGTGAGTTGAGTCAGCAGTAAGGGGGGAACTTCGGACATTGATTCTGGTTCATCCATTCATTGTTATTATTATTATTGAGAGAAGAATAAGATTGGTGAAGAGAAGGAGGAAGGAGAAAGGTGGAGAGAGAAGGGGAAATTGTAATTGGTCTTGCTGGTGTACTTCTTCTTCTTCTTCTTCTTCTTCTTCTTCTTCTTCTTTACCTCTCCTCTGGTCTTTATCTCTTTGCAAGTGCTTTCATTTCTTTCGCAATTAGGTGGCATTGTCTTTCATTGTGAATTTGCACTTGGGAAATGACCAGGATCGTAACAATTGGTATCGGAGCGGACTTACTTGCTGGCGAGAGGTGTTAGTCACCCTAACCCTGATTCCGAATTAGGTTAGGGCTAACCTAATCTTGGATTAGGGTTGCAAGTTAGGATAAAGTGGGGCAGCGAGGTATGGGGATGCTGCCCCCACCTGGTTAGGTCATGTAGGGTCGACATTGGACCCAACCAGGTTGCTTGAGTGAATGTATGGGGTGGCGAGACACAAAGGAGGCTGTTTGGATTAAGCGAGAGGGAGTAGAGAGTGAGAGGTACCTGCACCCGGAATCTGGACTTCAGGAAGACATTGAGTGACTTTTGGGCTTCCCCTCAAGAGGGAGACTTGATCAGAGGCTGCCATATCTGCATCGGGATTGCTGCAAGTTGCTACTTTGGTCTTCAGGCATCGACGGGGGATCCGGCTTTGCAAGAGGGGTGTAGGAAGGCCCTCTTAGTCATGCTAGGACACTTCGTGTAGTGGTAGCTAGGGGTCAGGAGGACTTATATGAGAGAGACTCGTTATCCATCTATGGAGGCCGGGCCTCACAGGTAAGTGCCGTGTGACCTAGGTAAGCCCGTGGGAGGTTGCTTGGTGCTTCATGGCCTGTTGGGGGTGTGCTGGGTTCTCTTCCTCTTCTCTGCGGTCTTGGTTGTGTGTGTGAGCATGTGGATTGCTTTCTCACCTGATGGATGGATGGATGATGTATCTGTGCTAAATGACATATCTTTCTACGGTGCATTGTCTTTTCATTTCTGAACGGCTGTAGGGGCAAGTGTTTGCCGAAAGTTGTCTTTTCCATTTCAGTACGGTAGAGACAGTTTGGGACTGACTTGGTACCCCTGTCTCGCTAGACCTGGTCCACGACCTACTTGGGACCACTCGGGACCCAGTGGGACCAGGCCCAACGGGACAGGACCTTTTGGGCCCAGATCTGTTGCCGCCAGTGCATTTCTTTGCTGTGCTGGATTTGGGGGACATACAGACAGCAAGGGCATTCCTTTCAAGGGGATCTTGACTAGCCTTACCGCATGTGAGCACATATTGCCCCGCGTCTGACTCGGCGACCATCTGCACCCCTCGAAATCTCCATTGCTGTAGATTAGTCTTCTTCGTCTGATTTATTGTGTTGACATTTCCCCTGTCAGGTTAGACAAGAGGGGATCTCCATTTGATCTGATCGGGCTCGTTCTATAAATTAGACCTCTCTGCTGTTTTGTTTCATTTATTTTTATTTATTCTTCTGCTGCGTGCCACGTTCTCAGTCCAAATGATTCGCCGCTCCGGCCAGGAGTTTTACCTTCTTCTTTGAGTGGTTTCCTGTTTGTTTCTTCTACCTGAATTATCTATGTCTGATATCGAAACGCGTGCGCAGATAGCGAAAAGAGAGGAAAGGGAGAGAGAAGGTGTGTTGTTTGAGAGTGTGAGAAGGGGCAAGAGGAGTGTTCGTCCAAACGTCAGGAGAGAGCGGACCCCTCTTGAGAGTTCTACTGACACCCCTTCCTCCGGCATGRCGAACATCACATCTGCCCAATGGCAGGCCATGYTGGATACAGCGGACGAGAGCCAGAAACCATTCTTTCAAAAACTGTATGATGATGCCGTGCAGAGAGAAAGGGAGGCAGCGGCAGCAGCTAGAGCCGCCGACATTGCTGATCAGGTGGCTCTCTTCCGGATCCCGGAAACTAATGCTGACCGGTTCCGGGAGAAACTAGCTGCTGCTGTAGGAACCTTGGTCCGACTGCGGACCTTGGAAGACTTTGAGTCTCGTATGACAGGACTTGAGCAGTGGAACGAAGAGCTGCAGGCTAAGGTAATTAGCCTTGAACAGTCCCAGTTGTCTGCCTCCCGCCCTCCTAACCCTCGATCTGCTGTAATCCCAGTCTCTAAGCCCAACACAACCCTCGTTCCAAGGGCCAGCGGAACTGCGGTAAGTGCAGGAACCGGAGCAAGCTCCTCAAGCGGCAACACCGGTAGTTCTGCACTGATCGCAGTCCCAAATGTAGGGACTTCAGCCCAAAACGCCACAGTCCTTACTGAAGTTCAGTACAACGGTCCCATGGTGGACAAGCGGGCGACCACGCTGCCGTCCAAGTACGACGGGAAGGCTGACATCACCTCTTGGATTAGTTTCATGCGGTCATACTTCGAGGTCATGCGGACACCGCAAGAGGACCGAAGTATGATCATGGGAACTAATACCGAGTCCGTACGAAACCACATTGAGCTCCAAGCTGTTGCTGCAGGCTATGCACGTATAGACCTGACTGATTGGCTGAAGGTCACCCCAGTTCGCACCCTTGAGGATCTTCTCCTTGACTGGTATCAGGATAAACATGCTGCGCTGAAGGCTAGACTGAAGCTTGAGGCCCTCAAGGGCCAAACATGGAGGTCATCCATGCAGGCTTTGGAACAGCACCTGACTGGTCTATTCACCACTCCGGATCTAGGAATGACTGACGTGTCTTGCATGGATGTAGTCATGGGAGTGGCCCCTAAAGAATACCTCTCCCTGCTAGCAATCAAGGACCATGCTACCTGGCGAGAGCTCATGAAGGACCTAGTCGACCTAGAGGCCAAGGACCTCGCCAGGCGCAAGAAGGCGCCCGCTGCGGGTGGGAAACCACAACGCAAACTGTTTGGAGGCAGCAACCAGCTTGCATTGCATGATCATCGGGAGGCTGACGATCAGTCCTATGCGGATGATCTGCCTCTAGATGACGATCTAGAGCCGGACTCCGATACGGGCTGTTCCACATCAGCCATTGAGTGTGACCGAAATGATGATGAAAAACTTAATGCATTTAGAAAGACTGCTTCAAATAAGGGGCCTAACCGTGGTTCGGGTAAGGGAACTGTCTTACACCTTCCCAAAAATGCTAANTAACCGTGGTTCGGGTAAGGGAACTGTCTTACACCTTCCCAAAAATGCTAAGATCCCTGAGAAACCGGAGGACGCTTCTACCAAGCCTTGGGAAGCCCTCCGCATCAGCCAAAAAGAATGGGAAAGAAGGTCCAAACTGCGCGTATGCTTGCATTGTTCAAAGCCTGGGCATGCTGTGCAGGATTGCTATCGTCTTCAGGGAAACAGGCAAGGGTTGTAGAGGAGACATCAGCACTCTCTACAACAAGAGAAGCTGAGCAGTCAGTTGCAGACCCCTCCGAGGAGCCTGAATCTGATCAGCAGCGTGCTCTTGAAGCCCAAACTAACGCTGATTCCAAGGCTGAGAAAGTCCAAGTGTTATACACTGAGCCTTGGGAAGAGTCTAAAGAGGTCAACCTCCACGCCCACATGGAGCATTGGCTGCAGCTCAAGCAGCAACGCCGTGTCCAAGGGAGCGTGGAGCTGACTTTCTTTAAACTGCTCATTAACTGCCGATACATCCGCGTGCTGATTGACAGTGGTTCGACCACTAACTTCTTCTCTCCGAACGGGATTCGTAAGGCGGGCCTGGGTATGAAGCAAGTGGAACTGCAGAACCCTTGCCGGACTGAGGTGGGCAACCAAGAGGTTGTCACTTCCACTCATGCTGTCAAAGGTGTGCGCATCACCTTTGACAAAGACCGCACTGTCACACACGAGCTGAATTTCTATGTCTTGGACAAGTGTCCTTTCGACGCGGTTATTGGCTTGGGCCGGCTAAAGGCTCATTGCCTAAGGACCACGTGGGGGGACAATCAGTTCGTGGTACTTGATGCCAAGGGGAACGAGCGTACCGTCTTACTAGATGAGACGCGTGAGTCCCTTATGACTCTTCGAAGTGCTAACAAATTCTGCAGGTCAGTGCGCAGGCGAAAGGAAGCTGGGTTTGTACATATAGCTCTTGTAAAGCCTTTCCACGTGCCTTCTACTTTTGCTGCATTTTCTACCTCTGAAGGTAACTCTACCTCTACTTCTTCTATTTCTGTTCCACCTATTTCTGCTGTAAATGATCGATCTAGTGTGGAACCAAATATTTCGAAACCGGTTGTAATTGCTGTAAATTCCCAATCTGATTTTCTCTCCCCTGATGAGGATGATCCTCCACCAGAAATCCCAGCGAACATTCGCCATCTGTTAGATCGATTTCCCGAGGTATTGGCTGAACCCCGTGGAATTCCCGAGCGTCCAGTCAAGCACAAAATCGAGATAATAGAGGGAAGTGTTCCTCCAAAGGGCTGCGTTTACCGTATGGGACAAGGCGAGTTGGAGGAGCTGCGGAAAAAAATTGATGACATGATTGATCGTGGATGGACTAGGCCTAGCGAGTCTGAGTTCGGCGCACCTGTTTTGTTTGTGCCGAAGAAAGGAGGCAAACTCCGAATGTGCATTGATTATCGTGGTTTGAACCGAATCACAAGGAATAATGCCTACCCTTTGCCTCGTATAGATGATCTGTAAGATGCGGCCGTTGGATGCAAAGTCTTCTCCAAGATCGACCTCAAGTCTGGCTACCACCAGATTGAAGTTGATCCAAGCGACCAGCACAAAACCGCGTTCAAGACACGTGATGGGCTGTACGAATTCATCGTTATGCCCTTCGGCCTTACGAAGGCACCAACCACATTTCAGTCCCTCATGGACAAGGTACTCCACCACCAACTTAACAGGTTTGTGGTTGTGTATCTTGATGACATTCTGATTTTCAGCAAGTCCATGGAGGAGCACGTCAAGCATCTCGAGGAGGTCTTGCAMGTCCTCAAAGATGCTCAAYTGCACCTCAACTTGGAGAAATCTGAGTTTGGCAGGGACARCGTYATCTACCTTGGACACCGGTTGTCTGCARGCGGTCTTGAGCCGGAGGCAACCAAGGTTGAGGTYATCCGCAACTGRCCTCAACCGGCGAATGTACGYGAGCTRCGTTCTTTTCTTGGTTTGGCTTCTTACTACCGAAAGTTTGTGCCTAAGTTCTCTGTCATTGCTCACCCACTCTCACGCCTGACTAGTAAGAATGTTGCCTATGCGTGGTGTGAAAAGTGTGAGACTGCNAAGTTTGTGCCTAAGTTCTCTGTCATTGCTCACCCACTCTCACGCCTGACTAGTAAGAATGTTGCCTATGCGTGGTGTGAAAAGTGTGAGACTGCGTTCCAAGCCTTGAAAGAGGCTTTGGTGAGTCATCCTGTGCTCCGCATTGCGGATCCCAACCTCACGTTCGTAGTCACTACGGATGCGAGCCAGTTTGGGATTGGTGTAGTGCTGCAACAAGATGATGACGATGGTCTGCGTCTGCTTGAATATTACAGCAAACGCATGCCCAACCACAAGGTAGCCACTTCCACATACATGCGGGAGCTTTACGCCTTGCGCGAGGCGCTCACGCATTGGAAGCACTACCTCTTGGGTCGCCATTTCAAGGTCTATTCAGATCATCAGACCTTGCAATGGATTAAGACACAAACTGACCTCTCTCCAACTGTGACCCGCTGGCTGCATGACATTGATGTTTTCAACTTTGAACTAAAACATAAGAAAGACTGCTATAATTGTGTTGCTGATGCTCTGTCGCGCCATCCCGAGTATTTGACTTGCCTTGTGGACTCGTACGAACTCCGGAGGAAACTAAAGGAGGATCTGGTCGAGCACACTGCCAAGGATCCGGACCTTAGTCCCATCCTTGAGCAGCCCAAGGCTGACCCCAACAGTCAGCCTGATTTTCATGAATGTGAGGGTCTTGTATTTCGCTGGTACGGAAAGTTTGACCGTTTGTGTGTACCCAACCATGCGCCTCTCCGAACTCACTTCTTGGATCTGGCACACGGTCGGAGTGGATATTTTGGCTTTGAGAAGACTTATGGAAGTCTTCTGCAACAATTTGACTGGCCAGGAATGAAATAATCTGCTCATAAATTTATTGCTGAATGTCAAGTATGCCAAAGGATCAAGGTTCACAGGCATAAGCCTTATGGACTACTGAGACCTCTTCCCATTCCCGATGGACCCGGCGAGTCGATTTCCATCGACTTCACGGACATGAGAAAGGTGAGTGAGGCTGGGAATTCACAATTCATGGTCATTGTGGACCGCTTCTCCAAATTTCAGAACTTGATTCCTCTCCCTCCTCACACCCCGACTGAACTTGTCATAGAAGAATTCCATCTGCAGTACATTCTGCAGTCCGGCGTCCCGAAAACTATTGTGAGTGATCGGGATACCAGATTCATCAGCAAAGATTGGAAAGACTTCACATCTCAGATCTACGACATCAAACTGAACAGGACTTCTGGTCGTCACCCCGAAGCCAACGGATTGGCTGAGGAGATCAACCAGACTGTCATCCAATTGCTTTGCGCACTAATTTTTCCAGATCAGAACACGTGGGACAAGGAATTGCACATAGTGAAGGGACTGTACAACAACTCCATTCACTCTGCGACTGGTGTGACACCAAACCAATTGCAGTATGGATGGCCGATGCGTAATCCCCTCTCCTATCTGTTCCCTGAACGGTCACCTGGTCTGATGCCCGACATGCCTGGCTACAATGCCAAGTACGCACGCTTGCTCAAAGCTGTTACAACAGCTATGAACAAGCACCAGCATGCCATGATCAAACATGCCAATAAGCGGCGCAAAGAAGAAAAGTTCAAAGTAGGGGATTATGTTTGGGTCAAAATATACGAGTTTTCTGATGAAGAGGGCATATCACGGAAGCTTTTTCCACTGTACTACGGCCCTTGGCAGATTCTGATGGTAGTCGGGGATGATTTCGGTCCTTCGTATGTGATTGACGTGCCTCCTCATCTGCGCACGTATCCAGTCTTCCATGCCTCCAAATTGTTCCCACACATTGATGATGAGACTTTTCCCTTCCGTGATCCTATGATACCTCGCCCTATTGACGGCGGCCATGAGATTGACAGAATCCTTTCTCACGAGAGGAGAGGAAGGAACAGATAGTACAAAGTTCATTTCCTCTACCACCCGTTGAACGAATTCTTCTGGATCGACCGGAAAGAACTGATAAAGAGTGTTCCACGTGTTGTGAACGCATATGAACGACAGATTGTTGACGGACAGACCACTAAGTTTGCTGCGAAACTCACTCCGTTCGGACTCACTAACACTCTCTTTTTGATTTATGCCTATGACGCCTTCTGTGCCGACTCTGACTGAGTTACGCGCTCGAAGGGACCTCGCTCTCGAGAGGGGAGTAATGTAATGACCCGCCCAAAACACAGACTGAGAACACTGCTGATTTCTGGGATTTGCCAAAGGAATGAATGCCTTGCTGTGATTCCCGCATTCTGCTGTGGTCCCAAGTCTGTGTGTGCGCGTGCCTGCTGGTTTGCATGCCTGTCTGAGTGCTTGCCGGATGTGTGTGTGTGCATGCCTGTCTGAGTGCTTGCCGGATGTGTGTGTGTGTGCGTGCCTGCTGGGTTGCATGCCTGTCTGAGTGCTTGCTGGTTGGGTATGTGTGTAACCCGCCAGGGTACTTGTTGGTTGCAAGGCCCACCGGGCTGGTACTTACCTGTGGCCGTGACTTTGGAGGGTTGCAGGAGGGTAAACATGCCGGTAGCGGGGAGTAGGCCCACTACACTTAGAGCAGCTGGGGAAAAACACTCAAGTAGCAGGTAGGCCGAGCAGAAGAAGACAAAAAGTTGGCATTTTTAGAGGCCCAGTAGCGGTCGGTTAGAGGTAGGCCGGTACCAGTCCAAGTAGCCYGGGTCTAGGGCCTGTGCGGACAATAACAGAGCCTGCAATGATGTTTCCCTCCAAAAGGGAGGAGGTACCAGTTGCTGGGAGGCCGCTTGGCCTAGGAAGTCACCGCCCAGGAGGCCGGTAGGCTGCTATATCTTCAGGAAGAGCTGTGAGCTCTTCCTCATTTGCGGTATGCAAGGATTGGTGACATGCTGCTGGAGCACAGCGCTGGTCTGAGGCAGCGCTGCTTGGAGGTGAAGGTCTGCTGGGGCTCAGCCTGGCTATGGCGAGCACCCCAGATGAAGGAGGAAGAAGGGGGACATGGTAGGAGAGTGGTAGGGCACTTACCTGGCTATGGTGGACACCGTCTTCATCACCTTGTTGGGCGCTGCATCTGGAAGGCCCCGGTTGGGGTAACGGTGCACCAGGGCAGCTAGAGGCAGGGTCAGGCATAGCGGACCGAGTCAAGCAGCGACATAGCTGCTTTGGGTTGTCTTTCGGGCATCAGGGCAGCATCATAGCTGCCTTCCAGTAKTCCGCCATGACSTATGCTTGAGAGAGGAGGTTGAAGGAAGGAAGACATAGCCATGGTGGACTTGTTGTTGTTGTTGTTGGGTTGTGAGTTGAGTCAGCAGTAAGGGGGGAACTTCGGACATTGATTCTGGTTCATCCATTTATTGTTATTATTATTATTGAGAGAAGAATAAGATTGGTGAAGAGAAGGAGGAAGGAGAAAGGTGGAGAGAGAAGGGGGAATTGTCATTGGTCTTGCTGGTGTACTTCTTCTTCTTCTTCTTCTTCTTCTTCTACTTCTTCTTCTTCTTCTTCTTCTTCTTCTTCTTCTTTACCTCTCCTCTGGTCTTTATCTCTTTGCAAGTGCTTTCATTTCTTTCACAATTTCATTGTGAATTTGCACTTGGGAAATAACCAGGATAGTAACAATTTGCTTTTTTCGCTTTTTTTTTTCTTTTTTTTTTTCCGCTTCCTGGTTTGGATTCATCATTCATGGTTGGTTCCTTGAACCCTCGCTGCAGCAGTGGAGAAGGAGTGGGATTCAAATTTTCGGTCGAATCTGTGCCATTTTCCAAGCCGGATGATTTTCGGTCGAATCTACGGCCTATTTAAAAAAAATATATATAAAAAAAAAATTATATGGCTCACCACTCTCGAAAAATGCAGAAAAGACGAAAATTATGCGGGTGTTCGACCGTGAGGTGTGAAGCTTAGTTCGAGTATGCTCTGAGATAGGTCTCCACCTTTCTCTCTCTCTCTCTCTTTCTTCTCTTTTT